ACAAAATTCTCTATACAAAAATTATAAAATATGTGTTTTTGCATTCATATGAATTAAAATATTGTAAAATGAATGACACGCATTTACAAAAAGAATAATTAGACAATCGATTTATTATTCATGAAATGAACCGTAAATGAGATGAAAAATCGGACTGATTTTTATCCATCGTTCTATTTTACGTAACGCTATTTTACATCCGCATTTTAAGCGTCAGAAAGTGGGCCATCCGTCCCTTTTAAAAAAAACAAACGCGTCAAAACAAACATTTGTTCTGCCATGAACGTAACAGTCACGAATATTCAAACGCGGCGTGTTGGCGTCATCGCTGGTGACAGACGTGGCAAGATATGCTTGATGCAGGTGGCATTCCGTGAGCCGAAGCCAGCGTTGCCGTTGGCAACCGTCTCTCAAAATGTCCCGCATGAGTCCACTAAAAGCATCCAAGAGAAGGATTGGCACTGCACTGCGCTGCGCTGTGCAACGCTGAATCTTTCACTGTTATGTGGGAGGGCGACACATCCTCGGTGACTCATCAGCCGCTTTCTGAAATCCTCTCGGCTCCCTCGAACCTGCCGAACGCCGCTCAGACTTCGGGCGTGAGTCATCACGCCGCCAGGAGGCAAGCGCTTTCTAAATTTAATGCCGCTCGGAGCCAGCCGGGTCGCTTCAAAAGCTTTCACATTCAACCCAAAGTTCTCAACTTCCAGGCTAACGCCGGCTCCGCCAATCGGAGCTTTGCTGTTGCCACGGCGACGCTCCGCTTTGTAAAGCCGAGCTGCTGAATGAAGGAAACAACGCATGCGAGGCCTGAGGATGATGATGATGATGATGATACGAGGGCAGCAGCATGATGTAAAAGCGGTTAGCACGTTAGCGGTTAGCTTCCTCCCCACATGACTGGCGACCAGTCTGTTCTTTGTTGACATGTGCGCTGATTGCGCAATAGAAAATGGACGGACAACGTTCTGGGCCTTCTCATGTCTTCCTAGGTGAAGTACAAAGAGGACTTTGAGAAGATGAAAGGTCAGAGTCTTTACCTCCCTGCGGCAGAACTCATTCACGCCAAGAACATCAGCGCCATCGTTTCCGAGGTGTGGGCACTTTTTCACTTGGAAATTTCGAACCGCGACCGCCGGCGAACTTTCCTCCTCACGCCGCTCAGTGTCGCCGTCTCCCGTTCAGTCCAAATACAAGCAGGAAGGCCGTAAGGAGGCGTCGTTGTCCCTTTACTCGCTGCTTCCGGACACGCCGCAGATACAACGAGCCAGGGAAGTGAGCCAGCTGCAGAGCGAGGTGGTGACACCAGAACGGAAAACCGAACCTAAACCTCGTTGGCACATGTTGCATACATTTTGGGTGAGTCTTTTTTATTTTTTTTCCCTCCCAGGTTAAATACAAAGAAAACATGAAGACGTCCTCCTCACTGTACTCGCTCATGCCGGAGACCAACGACACTCACTTTGTCAAAGAACTCGGCGACATACTCAGCCAGGTAACGCCCAGAAATGGACGTTATGAAAAGATAACACACGATAAGCGTCCCCCTTTCCTCTCCGCGCCCGTCAGAACAAGTACAAGGAGGAGGGGAAGAAGGAACTGAGCAGCACTTTGTACTCGCTGCTTCCCGAGACCAACGAGATGCATCTGGCCAAAAGCGTCCACGAGTTTCAGAGTGAGGTGCGGGCGTTTTCCTTCCATCGGGACAACCTTCGTCCTCGTCAAATCTCGACACGCTCTCTCTCTCGTCTGTGCCTGGTAGAAAAACTACACTCAAGACGGCAAGAGGAAAGCCTCCATCTCTCTCTACTCCCAACTGGCCGACACTCCCGAGATCCAACATGCGCTGGAGATGTCCCACCTGCACAGCGACGTACTTCACCTCCGCAGGCTCTAATGTCACAAGCGGGGGGAGCCCCGTGTGTGATCCTGTCACCGTCTCTTCTCTTTCCAGGTGAATTATCGACCAAAGGTGCTGGTGAAAGGAGCTCCGTCTTCTCTCTACTCTCAGCTCACCGACACCAAGGAGATCCAGTTTGCCAGGGAAATGACCGAGCTGCACAGCCAGGTGCCGCCAACTTGCTGCCACGTGTTGAATTGAAACTTCTGGTTACGGTTCCAGATTCAGAAATCGTTCTTGCTCCAGTCACAGCTTCACATTCAGTTCCCATTCCAGTACAGCTCAGTTCACTTTAGTGACGAACCACGCTCCAGTCGCAGCTTCACATTCAGTTCCCTGTTCCAGTACAGCTCAGTTCACTTTAGTGACGAACCAAACCAACATGCAACTTTTTTGCATTTATCTGCCACAACTGTTGACCTGTTCACTTGGCTGGACAACAAACCATTCTTGCATATTTGTCCTCCCATCAGCTCAAGTACCAGGAGGACAGCAGGAAGAACCTGAGTCATACGGCGTACTCTCAGCTGCCTCGCACCATGCAGACGGAGTTTGCAAAGAATGTCGCCGAGTTGCAGAGTGAGGTGAGACCTCGACTGCGCTTCACACCTCACGCCCAAACGTTCTTCTTGCTGCCCCTTTCGGCTTCACCGTTTTCCAGACGTCAATTGGAATGAATGAATGCATGAACGAATCCTTGTCGTCAGCATCGTCTGCTCACACCGAAAAGTCTTTTTTTCACCACATGCATAAATCTCCTCTTTTGGCCCCATTTCATCAGCAGCGTGTCTGCTGTCATGTTCCGTAAGAAAAAATATTTATTTCCAAAAACCAAAGCGCGTCAGCCCTTAGATACGTGACTAATGCTAATTGGCAGCAGGTGTGCACACTGAAGGGAAAGCCCTCGTCTGCCACCTGCTGGAGACACGCAGGAACAGGATCATGACGCTTCACGTCCGAATTTGGCCTCTCTCGCTTTCTCTCCGAGATTTCCAGTCTGTACCATTCCTCCGATAAGGTCGTTCCTGATCAGGTCCATCCTCGTCACCTCCAAAAAAGAATCTCAGCATCCTCCAGCTCTGTGTTCTGTCTTTACACTACAATTTGTCTGGTCACACTGTCAGCTTTTCTTTTTCCTTTGCCGATTGCTCTTCCGTCACATCTTCCATCCGCTCCCTCTATTCTGCCTGTACTCGCATCCAAAAAGTCCGTCCGCACTTTAAACGTCTTCTCGCCACCAGCGCCGCTATAAAGAAGTGGGCCAGAAGGGCGGCGACTCGTCCTTATACTCGCTTCTCCCGGAGACTCTCGAGACGCTCCACGCCAAGGATGCCTCCGAGCTCGCCAGCGAGGTAAAAAAAAAAAAAAAAGAAAAGAGAGCGAGACATATTGAAAGTGCCGTCATGAAATTATGAGTCAGTTGTTTTTCAGAATTTGATAAATGCTCATGTTGACGCAGTCTTGTCCGCATCGCACAGGTAAAGTACAAAGAGGACGGCAGGAAGGAAATGAGCGTCAACTTGTACTCGCTGATGCCCGAAACCATCCACACGCAACACGCCAAAGAACTCTCGGACCTTCAGAGTCAGGTAGTCACACGTCACGGCTGACTGTCAGCTGAGCGTGACGTGCGCGTGTATGACAACGTGCCGCTGTCGGTTCACAGGTCAAGTACAAAGAAGGCGTTCAGCACAAGAACCAGAACACTTTGTACCATCACATGGCTGAAACTACCGAGACCGCACTAGCCAAAGAAGTCTCGCAGCTGCAGAGCCAGGTCATGTCCTACAATACTTTTTTTGTTGACTTTCATTTTTCGGTGAGTTTTTATTTTTCAAAAATGTTTCGTTTTAGCTGTTAAAATTAGTTTTAGTTTTTTTTTTGTTTTTTTTTTTGGTTGAAAATTCCAATTCTCACACATGGCTCAGGGGAAGAAAACACAGTTTGATATCTTCTTTTTTTTTTTTTCTTTTTAAATTCCAATTCTCAAACATGGCTCAGGGGAAGAAAACACGGTTTGATATTTTCTGTTTTTTTTGGGTTTTTTTTGTTTGTTTGATATTCAGTTGGATGCAAATTAAATCAAACTGGAGGAAACAAAAAAAAAAAAAAAAAGGAAACCAGAGTGTGGTGACACTGTGGCGATATCGTTTTGCCTGCAGGTGAAGTACAAGGAAGACAGCAGGAAGGAGGTGAACAAATGCCTCTACTCAACTCTGCCCGACACTTTGGACACACAACACGCTCGAGACGCCACGCGGCTGCTCAGCGAGGTACGCGGACGCACGTCGGCCGCTCGTGCACGTCGCGTGTCTGACGCGTGTGTCTACTGTGTGCGATCAGAAAAAGTACAAAGAGGACGGGAAGAAGGCGACGTCCCACAGCCTTTTCTCCACCCTGAGCGACACGTCAGAAATGAAGCTGGCTAAAGAGACGACGGACATCCTGAGCGAGGTGATGCATCCCATCGCGCCGGGAGACTTCCCAATCACAATCCCATTTTGAGGAAGGCTCTCTTTAAAACTCATCACACTTAAGCGCTCGATACGGGATGAGATTCCATTAGATGACATTGCCTCGAGATCCATTAGAGCAAAGTGTTTTCGATCAAACGACGTGACATTTTCTTTTCCTCTTTGTCACAGAGGAAGTACAAGGAGAGCGGCAGGAAGAGGCTCTCTCAGAGTCTCTACTCCCGACTGGCCGACACGGCGGAGACGCAATTTGCTAAAAGCCTTTGCGACCTGCACAGTGAGGTGCGAACGGCCCAAAAAGCTCTTCAAGACGCTTGTAGAAGATTTCATATTTTAAGACGACAGATGGATGACATCACAGAACACGTTTAGACTTGATGGACACCCCGTGTGTCGTAACGTTGTATCAGATGAAGAAGTTCTCTTTGGCAGGTGAAATACAAGCAGGGACAGAAGGACGCGTCCAAGTCACTTTACTCCACCCTGCCCGCCACACTGGAGACGCTGCACGCCAAAGAGGCCTCTGCCCTACAGAGTCAGGTAAAGTCGAGCAGACACTCCGCCATCCACACTCAGTCTTGCTTCACGTTCTCTCTCCTGTTTTTTTTTTTTTTCCTCAGCGCAAATACGCGGAGGCTCAGAAGAAAGATCTTAAATCCACTTTGTTCCACTTGCTGCCCGAAACGCTTCACACGGCGCACGCCAAAGACGTCTCGGAGCTTCTGAGTCAGGTGAGTTTCTTTCACGGGGGGGAGGGGGGACGTCTCCTGAGCTCCTAACTGGGTAAAATGCATGTAAAAATATTTTGGCTTGGGCAGGTGAAGTACAAAGAGGACGGCAGGAAGGAGATGAGCGTCAACTTGTACTCGCTGATGCCTGAAACCATCCACACGCAACACGCCAAAGAGATCTCGGACCTGCAGAGTCAGGTACACGCCCCACAGCCGTTCAGAAATACTTGTCTACAGGGTGTGGAAATACATGAGCACTTTTTAAATTAAATCATAACAAGGGAGGAGGGAAGGATGTCAACAAGGGTGGAAGGAAATCAGAAAAGAAACGAGGATGCAATGAGAGGGTGGGAGGAAGTTTCTTTTCCTGTCAGAACCTTGACTTGGGAATTTCCTCAACTGGGTCATAACTGCGGTTGCTGCGGCAACCAAATTTGGAAGCAGCGCGCGTGGGCGATTCAGTATTTGCGTGCGTGTTGGTGTGTCGCAGGTCAAGTACAAAGCGGGTGTGCGGCAGCAGATGCAGAGCAGTTTGTATCATCAGCTCCCGGAAACTCCAGAGACTCAGCTGGCTAAGCACATGTCCCAGCTGCAGAGTGAGGTGCCACCAGCGGAATCAACACGCCACACCACATTTGACATTTCGGAAGATCGCACAGAGAAACCAGTTTTGACTTGAAAAAAAACGTAAAGACCAGTGAAGGCGACACAGTGCAGATTTGCTTTGAGACGATGACTTCTGACTGCAAATATACACAAAGGCTCCAGACTGCCCCTAAAAAAGGTTATTATTTGCCTACACTTACCCCAAGATGGAGCTAAAACAAATTTTTTTCCCTAAATGAAACTCCTCAATTCACGCCAGCGTAGTTACCTGACACCAACATGCCACAAGATGGTGGCACAGCACTATTTTTGTCCAAATGAAGCTCCTTAACTGACTTCCACATAGTTCCTTGTCACCAAGCTGCCACGAGATGGTGGCAAAGCACTAGTTTTGTTCAAATAAAATCTCCTCAATTCATTCCAACATAATTCTGGGGTCCAAGATGGCTGGATGGTCAAGACAGACATAACTCGGGACTTGCTTGCGACTTGAAGGTTAAGAGTTGAGACTTGCTCCCATACTGTGGCGTCTCCTCAACGTTACAGAGCAAGTACAAGTCGGCAGGTGAGCAGGAGCTTCACAGCTCTCTGTACGCCGCCCTGCCCGTCACCATGGAGACACAGCATGCTCGAGACGCCGCGGAGCTGCTCAGCGAGGTAACTTCCTGTTTGCTGCCCCGCGTCGGCAACGAGCGTGAGCACGCCGCGGCAAAGGTGCGTTGTCGCTTGCCAGGTCAAGTACAAGGAGAGCGGCAAGAAGGAGATGGCCACCTGCCTCTACGCCACCTTACCCGACACCTCCCAAACCATCTTCAGCAGAGACATGACGGACATGCAGAGCGAGGTGCCTTGAAAACACGCCGCTCAGTCTTTCCCTCGTGTTCGGTAACCATGAAGTGCAGAAAAATTCCACGCGGGTACACAGCGTCGATGTTTTGATCATCGTGCATATTCACACACTGTATCATGAAACACCAAAATGTTCAAGCCAACAACATCATTTCATCTCACGACTACATCATCTTAATGCAAATATAGTACGGAAATAAAAAGCTCCTTAAGGAAATTAGCATGAATGCTGTGCTAATTATCACCCTTCAAACAATTGCTCCTTCAACACTAATGGAGCAGCAACACATGCAGAGTGTACACCAATAGCCACCGACATACGTCACGTGACACAAATTGTATTTGTATGGATGGTCCTATTGCTAAAAGTCCTGAAAGAGCTTCCTGTTGTGTCCTTCAGGTCAAGTACAAGGAGGACGGGAAGAGAAGCCTATCGCAGAGTTTCTACTCTCAGTTGGCACAAACGGCCGAGACTCAGTTTGCTAAAAATGTTACAGAGCTGCAGAGTGAGGTCAGATCTCATACACGGCTTGCAACACTCATTACTCCATTTCTTTCATGTGTTAGCCGTTAGCTTTTACGATAATACGTACAACTCTAATCGAATCATGCGTACCCGCTGCCAATACCACACTGCTGTGTGTAATATTTCCCGTCTCTTAATCATTATTCAGTGTTCAGGTTTGCATGTGACAGACACATGAGACGATTAGGAAAATACAGGACGAACCGCGTCCCACATTTATTTCCCAATTAACGGATGATAGCGTATTTTACGAGACAGCTGGCAACCTTCTGCGCCATCCGTTTCTTCACATGATCATCGCCCCCCCTACAGGTGAAGTACAAGGAGGACGCCCAGAAGGAGATGTCGTCCTCGCTGTTCTCCAGCCTGCCGCAGACGCTCCACACTCAGCGGGCCAAGGAGCTCACCGAGCTCCAGAGTCAGGTAACCTCCTGCCGCGATCAAAAGCTGACTTTAGATACCAAAGACAAATGGGTACTTGTGATAAAGCTGACTTTAGATACCAAAGACAAATGGGTACTTCAAGTGCGTTGATGTCTCAACGCCGATTTTCTCCTCCTTTGTATTCGATCCATGCAGGTAAAATACAAGGAGTGCAACAAGGATGTGTCCTCGGCCCTCTATCACCTACTTCCGGAGACGCCGGTGACGCAGTTTGCCAAACACGTGTCGGAGATCCAGAGCGAGGTCAGGCCCCGTCCAGTTTCTCTTCCATCTTCTCACAGACGTTCTTCCACTTTGTGACGGTTTCTGGCATTGCAGACCAACTACAAGCGAGACAAAGAGGACATGTCCACCTCCTTGTACTCGTTGATGCCCCAAACGCCAGACATTCAGTTTGCTAAAGACATGGCCGATACGCACAGCCAAGTGAGTTTCGTGTGAGACCGAAGCAGATGTGGCTGACGGTCGCCATGTGCAAGTCAGTCAATAAGTTTCAAGCCTTTTCGTGAAAGGAAAATTGAACAGAGAACCGGTCAAGAAACAAAAAAAATTCTCGAATCCTCCACTGCTGCACAGAACCGCGAGATGGGTTGCGTTGAACCCTCATGTTCGCACCAGAAGGTCAAATCCTTCCGCAGATGTCACGCAGGGTTAAAATATCAGCCAATAGGAAGCCAGTTTGATAAGATGCCTCTTCTGTGTGTGTGTGTTTTAGGCCAAGTACAAGCAAGAGGCCAAGCAGCAGTCGGCAGCGTCTTTGTACGCCAAACTGCCCGAAACCCTGGAGACTAAACACGCCAAAGAAGCCAGCGCGCTGCAAAGTCAAGTCAGTCCCGCGTTTTTTTTTTTTTTTTTTTTCTCTTTCTGGGAGTCCCTGGGAGTCCGTCACCTTTCTCTCCCTTCAAACGAGGGCTCCCGTTCTCGTCCTGCTCCAGAAAGAGTACAAAGCCGAGGGCAAGAAGCAGATGACGTCGTCGCTCTACTCGCAGCTCCCTGACACCCAAGAGACGCAGTTGGCCCGAGAGCTGGCGCTGATCCAGAGCGAGGTAGCGACTCGTTCCGGGAATAATATCGATTTTGAAGGATCCTCATTGTAACCGGAGCGAACTTCTTGTTGTCTTCAGAACAAATACAAAGAAAGCGGCAAATGGGCGCAGAGCGTCAGCTTCTACTCGCAGCTCCCAGAGACCAACGACATCCTTTTTGCCAAAAGCGTATCAGAGATCCAAAGCGAGGTATTCTACGTTTTCATTCAACTCATCTCATCTTTATCTTTGTAGACCTTGTTGAGCATTTCATCAAATACGTTTGGCAATATTGTGTCGCGTGTTTCAGAACAAGTACAAGGAAGCGGGCCGAAGACAAGCATCCGATTGTCTTTACTCCAAGCTCCCCGACACTCTGGAGACTCGGCACGCTCTGGACGCGTCACTGCTGCAGAGTCAGGTCAGCGCCCGGTAAGCCGCGACCAACGAACGCAGCGCTGACCTTCTTCAAGTTCTTCTTTTGTTTAGTTGGCCTACAAGCAGGAGCACAAGCAGGACGCCAGCAAGACGTTCTATCACCAAATGCCTCAAACCACCCACATAGAGTCGGCGAAACAGCTCACGGAATTATACAGTCAGGTGATGCAACACTCACACACACACTCGCACGCTAAAAAGTGCCGGGAAATTTGAACTCTGTGCGCGCTGCAGGTGAAGTACAAAGAAGACGGCAAGAAAGAAATGAGTAAAAACTTATACTCGCTCCTTCCCGAGACCTCCGAGACGTATTTTGCCAAACAGATGTCGGAGTTACAGAGCCAGGTGACGAGACTGAATGCGCCACCAAATCCACAATTGGGATCAAATATTTTTATGCTACGCGTTCTGCTTAATGTTCTCTCAGTCAGCTTGTTGATGTTGCCGCGTGTCTGCAGAGCAAGTACCAGAAGGACAAAGAAGAACTGGCCAACTCGTTGTTCTCTGTCCTGCCCGAAACTCTGGACACTCGCTTTGTGAAGGACATGGCGGAGACTCACAGCCAGGTCAGAAACGCGTCGCCTTCACTTGACCTTCCAACTATCTGGTGGGTGGACTCATATGAAGATGAAAACAAGAAGTTCATATTTAAAATGGCAGAAGCTGCTTTTCAGGCTGAATGTAGGAAGTGGAATGAAAAATAAATATTCGATACCAGAGACTACTTATTAGTCACTTGAATCACCTTCTGACATCTGCATTTTGGCCTGTTTTACTGCCAATTTTCCAACCCCACCCTGCGCATGGTGTTAATGTCAATCAAGATCAAGGTTTAAAAAAATATATATATATTTATACTTGGTAACTTCCCCACCCCTGGTCTGTAGTCATTGTGACACGATGTCGGACAAAAGTGCCCCACTGGTCTATTCTGGTCGCTTTATCAGCGCAGTCGGATTCTTCGTCTTACTTGTGTGGCGCTAAATGATGTCATGGTGTCATGTGACTCTCGGGTACACCAACACTCCTTGAAAGATTTTATTTCTGTTAGTGCGGTGGAAGTTGAGCCAAGTTAATGCCGGAAAACAAGATGTCGGGAGAAATAATGCAAATCCCGGAAGGGGAAAAAAAAACAGCGAAGCAAAACTTTGGTGATCGCCCATGCGTGTGTGTGTGTGTGCGCAGGTGAAGTACAAGGAGGCAGGAAAGAAGGAGGCCAGCAGCGCTCTGTACCATCAGCTGCCCGAGACGGCCGAGACGCTTCATGTCAAACGACTTTCTGAGCTGCAGAGTCAAGTAATCACTAATTTCCACTTGTTTCAAACACTCCATGCGATTGATTCGTCACTCCAATTTGACGTTGACCGTCGAACTGATCCATGAAACAAAATCAAATAAAGGTCCACTAGCTTAATGCTAACAACGAATGTCAAATGCCTCACGGATACCAGCATTCTACTCTTAAGTCGTGCCTTTTATCAGTCATGAAACAAACTGACTTTGAGCTCCCCTCTGGCAGGACAAGTACAAGCACGGTAGTAAGGAAGTGATGGCGTCCAGCCTGTACGCTCCGCTG